AATCACTACAAACATTAATATTAATCCTAATATCATTGACAATAAATTTCAAAGCACTAAGTACTCGTTCTACCCGGACTTGTATAGCAGGAACATGATGAAGTGCTATTCTTTCAGACACTTGTGAACTACTATAACTCACAATCACAAACCACCGCTTTGATGCGTCAGTTGTAGACACCCATAACAAGGCGTGTAAAGAAATCTCAACATATTTTAGTACCCTTCTCTCCACAATGGTAGCGCTGGTAATCACTTCAATTTCCAAGTCTCTCTTAGCTATCCATATAAATTGTTGCTCGGGACTGATGAAAGAATATTACTTTACTAGAGCAAGAAGAAACATTAAAAAATAGCGACTAGGGAAAATCACTAGGGAAGAGTATCTAGTTTGAACTTTTTTATCTTGGGATGTCAAGGAATTTGAAAGATGTATATTAATTTTAGATGGGATGGAATTGGGGTTTGACATGGACCTGAAAGACGTAGCATGAAGTAGGGTTTTAGACAAGGGAGGACGTACAGTAAGACCATGAACCTGAAGGACGGTGTACGAAGTCCATGGACTCAGCATCGACGGCTGGTTAAGGTTATATTTCTTATTTCGACCACAATATATTCTAGAGGGCGTAAAAAATTGCCAAATTTTTCGATAATTCTTTTGCGAACCCTGGGTTATAATCATAAACGTATACTTAAGGATAGACCGCGAGACCGGGCCGAAAAAGAGAGTAGAAAGAGATAGCTGGCACTGATGGCTCTCTATCCTTGTTTAATCGCGCATGCACTGTATAGCTGGTACTTGGTGGTGGTGGTACATACATGACCGTTCCAACGAGGGATGCCAGAATGTAGGATTTCTCCTCTTCCCGAGCTGTCTCCTACTTCTTTCTTTTGCCCCCACGTACGTTACCCATGATCATTGGGGACATGTCTAATAATGCCATATGTAAGTGGGGAAAGCATATTGAGCATACAGCAGCATACAGTAGTGGGGAGAGCTCGGGAAGAGGAGAAATCCTACATTCTGGCATCCCTGGTTCCAACTATACAGGGTGATTCTCTCGCTAGGGTAGACAAAGGCTGTGCCGCCGTGTAAACATTGTAACCAAAACCCATAGTACTGTAGCCGCTGTGCCATTGGGAGGTGGAGGACGGATGGCTACTGTAACGAGGACGATTGTGTGCGTACATGTGTGAGCTACAGTACTATAGGTTTTGGTTACAAACGGCGGCACGCCTTTGTCTACCCTAACGAGAGAATCACCCTGTATTTGAGTTCACGAGAGAACAGACCATGGACCTGAAGGACGGAATATAAACTGCTTTTATAGATGAAGGGGGGTGAAGCTCCGTCCGTGGCGGGGGAACAGTCAAATCGGCCATCTTGTAGGAGCGACAAGTGGCGTCGCCTGTCTGTAAAACTTATACAAATCTTGCGCGCGCTAAAGCAAGCGTGTGTCACGGCTATGTACATACATACATGAGCGTACTTGTGGAAATTTGCTCCTAGACGCCAATGACGCTAATATGGCCGTTACCATGAAGATACGCGACGCGGGCGCGGACGCTACATGAAGAGAGCGCCACCAGTCGCTCCTAAAAAATGGCTGACATTTCGGATCCCCCCTTCCGTTTTCCGTCACAGTTTATCGCAGGCAATGCTCCGTCCTTCAGGTCCATGGAACCAGGGATGCCGTATTGAGCGATTTTTCTCGCGCCTCCTCTTCGCCTGGAGACCCCTACTACCGTATTTTGTCCACGCTTATGTTACTCTTGGACATGCGCCTGATGCGCCTACCGGCTTCCTACGTGACTTGAACCTTTTTTATGCACAAGACGCATGACAAATACGTCACGTGGAAAGCCGGTAGGCGCACCAGGCGCATGTTCAAGAGTAATGTAAGCGTGGACAAAATACGGTAGTGGGGGTAGAAAAATCGCTCAATACGGCATCCCTGCATGGAACAGACCCGTTTCGTGCAGCTTGTAGGTAATGGGGGTAACCGAATACGTAAGTCCTAGTAGGGGCGACGATATGGACAGCATTAAAGAGAAAGAGAGAGCTGCGCACAATGATCGAAAATTGGTCAAAAGAAGCATTCGTAAGCAGAAATATTTAATTAATAAAAATGTGGACACTCAATTGATTACACAAACATTGAAAATTTTGCCACCGTCAATTGTAGATGATGATGAGCATTTTCTTGAATAAGAAGTATTTATGGACCATGGTCATCAATTAATTTTAATGATTCTATTAACATATATGGATATTCGTTTGAAACACGAAGGCAAAATTTTGCAAGATGAAAACCAAAGAATCAGGATGCAGAATAATAAGTTAACAATATTTAAAGGACAATAACTTTGTCAAATACTTTCGAATTATTTATAATATGTTTGTTACATAATAAAAATGACGAACAGCATTTTATGATTTACTATTACTCTATCTTATTTTAACGTTTTCCTAGTTTTATATTATAATTTCTAATTTATGTTTTATGCATCATCTAAGTACTTCTATCTCTCTATTAGTTCTCTGTTTCATTCTTACTAAAAGAATGCTACTTCACAGTACTTCACTACTTTTGGACTAAAATATCGACAAATATTAATTCTAATGAGAAAAATGTAAAATACTATGTGTATTATTCAAGTGAAAAATTATTTTTTAGAAAGATATGTATAATGGAATACATGAAGAAAATAAGCAAGAAAATAAGAAAGACTTGCACTATGTTGAACATATGAAGGGAATAATTTTCGAAACAATATACATATAATTTTGTAATATATGAAATAATTTGTATTAACAAGATATGAGAGGAAAAAGGTTCATACTTTGCACATGCCCATTGTTTGCATGGTCGTGTGAGCATATGCACATCTATCTGTAATACCACAGCCTAGTTTAATACCTAACCATGCTCAAAATAAAGTGGTAACATCACGTGAGTCCTGATTTTGTGTAGTGCAACCACAGCCGACTGTAGTCGCACGGAGAGTCGGCTGTTCTTGCACTCAGGATCAGCGTTGAGATATTTTTTCCCTCGGCCGGAAAGTGGGGACGACGCGACCATGGTGGGGACTGGTACTTGACGGGGTTATGCTAGGCATAGTCAGCGTAGGCGCATGAGGAGAATAGTAGTAGAGATCGAAATACGGGCGAAAAACAGGGGAAGCGAGCCGTGAGGGAAAAAATATCTCAACGCTGCTCAGGATTGCTAAATCCCTCATGCGGGTAGTGGGGAGCACGCGACCATGGTGGGGACTAGTATTTGGTGGGGGTATGTTATGCATGGTCAGTGATATTCAGGGATGCCGTATTGAGCGATTTTTCTCGCGCCTCCTCTTCGCCTGGAGACCTGTACTACTGTATTTTGTCCACGCTTACATTACTCTTGAACATGCGCCTGATGCGCCTACCGGCTTTCCACGTGACGTATTTGTCATGTGTCTTGTGCATAAAAAAGGTTCAAGTCACGTGGGAAGCCGGTAGGCGCGTCAGGCGCATGTCCAAGAGTAACAAGCGTGGACAAAATACGGTAGTAGGGGTCTCCAGGCGAAGAGGAGGCGCGAGAAAAATCGCTCAATACGGCATCCATGGTGATATTTAAGATCACTATACCTGAGTTCCCGAGACTCTAGGAGCGTTTCGCGCCGCTTGGAAGGTGGTGGGGGTCGCAGCGAACTCCCTCCACACGGTTCAGTATACACGGTAAAGCATTGAGATACACAGAACGATCAAAAACTGAGCTGTGCCCGTTCCTAGACTCTCGGGAACTTAGGTATAGGCTTGTTTTGGGTGTACACCTCGTCATGTTGGCAATGTCAATATCAAATAATTCTTATAAAATGAAACTGTAATGGATATCGGTTAATTACGGTTAATTATAACTGTTAGGGTTAGCGTTTAGGTTAAACCACGATTTTATAGTCTTTAGGATCGTAGGTTAGATTGTCACTGTTAGAATCAAAATCAGAAGTTACTAGAACGAAATACTATGGGAATAGCACTGCGGATGACGACAAAAGCGCAAGAGAGGAGTAGTAATGGGGAACGAGAAAAGAGGGGAAATCATCGTGAGGAATTTTTCATAGCAGCCCTGATTGCACTACATGAAAACCGGACTCCCGCGGTGTTGTCATTTTATTCTCAGCATGGCTAGGTATGTATTAAAGTAGGTTGTGGTAATACGTATTTTCAATGGTAGGATGCAATAAAATTTGACCACCAGCTTGCTGCATGGAAGAAAGGTCTGCACCCCCCTTACGTATTTCGCCACGCTTTACCGCCAAAATGCTACATCCTTCAGGTCCATGGGGTCTAATGATGTTTCTATAAAATACAAAGGTGGTTGACTGCGATTTGAACTGTGTACAGAAACAATGGCGTGTCCATTACACCGAATCAAAAATTCTTCAATTAAGTGTTATTTGTATGAAATTGATCATACAGAGGTTCACGGGGTTGATCATCACTAAATTAAATTCAAATTTTTTTTAAATGCAAAATAACGGATTTAATATGGAGCATCAAAAATTCTTTAATTAAGTGTCATTTGGATAAAATTCATAATATAGAGATTTTCGAAGTTGATAATTACGAACACAAATAAAAATAAACTTTGGCCCGCCATATTGAAACCGCCATTTTGAATTTTGAGAAAATTTCGATATTAGATTCGTAGTCAGCTATCTTGAAAATCGCTGAATTATAAATTTTATCCAAATACTTGAATAGAACCTGAAATTGAAAAATTTTCGCTCGGCCATATTGAATTTCAATATTCTATGGCGGAATATTATGCAATTTTGAATGCGTAAATTAATTTTGAGCGGAATTCCATTGCGACCTATTAATGTTTGTACGAGCTACTAATATTGCTGATTGCGATATCAGCTGTACAAAATGAATTGATTAGAAGTACAGAGCTGCTTTAAAAATTCCAGGGTAATCAGATTTTTAAAACGATTTCAACAACGAATGAATTGACATCTGTTAATTGAACGTTTTTCAATCACTGCGTAATTTTTAAGATCAAGTATAGTATATGTTCATTAAATGTTAAAAAAAAAAAAATTAAAAAAAGTTTATTTGGAAGTCAAAATCAAAATAGTTAAAGTATTTTTATTTTAATTTTTAATATTGCTCTAATTCATTAATAAACCGTGTGTCACTTTCCGAATTTTAAATGAAATTCATAATTCATAATTAAATTTTGGGTTCTGG